ATGTTATGTAGCATATAACAAGAAGACATGGTGATGGCTGGCTATGAATGATGACTGTATATAATAAGTGCATGTTACCTTTCTAGACAAAAACACTCCCAATGTTAAATATCACAGTAAAAATATCACTAGCAATAAATACTTAAACCATAGTATGTAAATACCAATTTGTATTTAAATCAGCCTAGCAAATATCTGAGGAAACAGGTTTTTAAATAACAGCAAAAGAAATGTACAGTGGAGGAATCATTCTAAACTTTCTGGGAAAACATTCATACTTTGATTTCACCTATGTGGATGATGGTCTATTCTCATAATACAAGGAGGGTATATACAGGATAGGATGCCTCTTAAAATAAACAGGATACTGTCTTTTGCCGCTCATTATACAAAATTGACCTCCCTAGAGAGGTGCAAGAATTTGCTAATGAAAGATGCATGGAGAAGAATGATATTTCTTGGAAGGTCTTAATTTCTTTGGGGAGGTTTAACTCCAGCCTTTTGAGAACCCAAAACAATTCCTGATTGGAAGGGCTTTTAAAGAGAAACTAAGTGAGCTCCTGCTACATAATCTGTTTTTTAATTCACATTTTATTTATTTATTTATTTATTTAGAACATTTCTATGCCGCCCCATTTGCAAAAAGCCTTGGGGTGGCTTACAAAACAAATAAATAAACAATCATACAAATAACCTTAAAAATACGGAGACATCTTGGCATAAATTTAAAAACCAATAAATAAATACAGTTAACAATTAAAATAACTTTTAAATAAAAAGGTCTTGGCCTGGCGCCAAAAAACAAATAACAGCGGTGCCAGGCAGACCTCTCTGGGGAGTGCATTCCAGAGGTGGGGCGTCACCGCAGAGAAGGCCCTCCTCCGGGTACTCACCCTCCTAATACCTTTCACGGAAGGTTCCTGGAGAAGGGCCTCTGCTGCCGATCTCAAGGGGCGGGAGGGCATATATGGATGCAAGTGCTCCTTTAGATAACCAGGACCCAAGCCATTGAGGGCTTTATAGGTGATAATCAACACCTTGAATTGGGCCCAGACTTCAATGGGAAGCCAGTGAAGCTGACGGAGGACTGGGGTTATATGAGAACAATGCCCAGTCCCCGTCAGCAATCTGTCAGCTCTGTTTTGCACCAATTGAAGTATCTGGACCGTCTTCAAGGGCAGCCCCACATAAAGCGCATTACAGAAGTCTAATCGGGAAGTTACCAATGCATGTGTCACTGTTGCCAGGTAGAGACACAGCTGATGGATCAGCCGAAGCTGAAGGAAAGCGCTCCTTGCCACTGATGTCACCTGAGCTTCTAACGACAGCTCTAGGTCGAGGAGCACTCCCAAGCTGCGAACCCTGTGCCTAAGAAGGAGTGCAATCCCATTCAGGACAAGGTCCAAGTCCTCTCCCCTGAAGCCCAAACCACCTACCAACAGGACTTCCGTCTTGTCTGGATTGAGCTTCAGTTTATTGGCCCTCATCCAGCCCATTACCTTGGCCAGGCACCGGTTAAGTACAGCCACTGCCTCACCTGGCTTGGCTGAAAATAAGAGGTAGAGCTGTATATCATCAGTGTACTGATGATTCCACAGCCCACACCTCCTGATGACCTCTCCCAGCGGTTTCATGTAGATGTTGAATAGCAAGGGGGACAAAATGGACCCCTGCGGAACTCCATGGCATAACTGCCATGGCGCAGAGCCATAGTTCCCCAGCACCACCTTCTGGAATCGGCCATTGAGATAGGAGTGGAACCACCACAAGCAGTGCCTCCAACTCCCAATCCTGCTAGCCTATCTAGAAGGATACCATGTTCGATGGTATCGAAAGCCGCTGAGAGGTCCAGGAGGACCGACAGGGACGCACTCCCCCTGTATCTCCCTGCACAGGTCATCATACAGGGCGACCAAGGCAGATTCAATACCATACCCAGGTCTGAACCCGGACTGAAATGGGTCGAGATAATCAATCTCATCCAAGAGTGCTTGGAGTTGTCCCGCCACCACCCGTTCCAACACCTTGCCCAAGAACGGAATGTTGGCCACCGGTCTATAATTGGTGGCCATCTCTGGATCCAGGAATGCCTTCTTTAGGACTGGCGGGACTACCGCCTCCTTTAAAGGGGCAGGTACCCGGCCATCCCTTAGAGAGGCGTTGACAACCTCCAGGATCCAGGCTCTATCCCGTGCTTGGCTTTGTTAAGATGGGCAAGGGTCCAGTAAGCAGGTGGTGGGATGTACTTGTCCAAGCACCTTGTCCACATCATTAGGCCGCAACAAATGAAACTCATCCATCAATTTTGGGCCAGACGGCAACATTGGCACCTCCCAAGAAGGTTCCGAGTCACTAGTGGAGTCCAGCTCATGACGTATCTGAGCGATTTTCTCCTTGAAATGCCTGGCAAAGTTGTCACAGCGGACCATCAGGGGTGACACAGGATCTTTCTTGGGGCCCGGTTGAACCAGCCCCTGTACCACCTGAAAAAGCTCCGCCGGACGGCATTGTGAGGAGGCAATGGAAGCGGAGAAGAATTTCTTTTTTGCCACCCTCACCACCACAGCATAGGCCTGATAATGGGCTCTTAAGTGTGTTCGGTTAGATTCATCCCATGAATTCCTCCACCTACGCTCTAGACGTCTCCCAACCTGCTTTATCGCCCGTGATTCAGGTGTATACCAGGGGGATGAACGGGCTCTGCCAGGTGGGAGAGGACGCTTAGGAGCGATCGTGTCAATAGCCCTGGTCATTTCCCCATTCCACAGTTCAACCAAGGCATCGACAGGAGCACCAGCCTTATCAACTGGGAATTCCCCCAGAGCTTTCAGGAATCCATCTGGATCCATCCAGCTCCGGGGGTGGACCAGCACAATTGGGTCCGCACCCTTACAGAGGGAAAGGCCGCTCTCGAGCACAAACCTCATGAGGAAGAGTTCTGACCATGACAGGGGTGTCAGACACAAGTTCCTCACCCTCAGATCCCCGTCGAGAAAACCAGGTCCAGAGTGTGTCCACGTTCATGGGTCGGGCCAGTGACATGTTGAGACAGTCCCATGGCTGCCATGGAGGCCATGAAGTCCTGAGCCGCCCTGGTCAGACCCGTCTCGGCGTGGAGATTGAAGTCTCCCAGGACCAGCATCCTGGAAGTCTTCAACACCAAATCCAAGACGATCTCCATCAGCTCAGGCAGGGAGACTGTTGGGCAGAAGGATGCACGGTACACCAACAGAATCCCCAGTCTGTCTCTGTCACCCAGCACCAAGTAGAGGCACTCTAGACCCAGCCTCGAGAGAACAGGAAGCCCCATGAGGGAAATAGAGGCTCGGTAAACCAAAGCGACCCTCCCTCCCCTCCCCTCCAGGCATGGTCGGTGCTGGACCAGATACCCGGGTGGGCACAGATGAGAGAGGGAGACATCCCATTCCTCTCCCGCCCAGGTCTCTGTAATGCAAGCCAGGTCGGCCCCCTCATCCATGGGATGACTTATTATGGGCTTATTATTAATTTACTTTTTCTTATCAATTTACTGCTGTTGCATCTTCTTTTCCATACTGTAAGGTATGACTTTCTCATTGGGTTTGTACCAGTGTGAAATCTTGAAGATATTATGGAATGGTGACCCCCCAAAGAGTGTGCACACAAACCGTACAAACAGAAATAGTATCAAATAAATGATGAAACCTGGGGAAATGATCATAGAATTCCTTCCTTCCTTCCTTCCTTCCTTCCTTCCTTCCTTCCTTCCTTCCTTCCTTCCTTCCTTTCTTCCTTCAAGCTTTTCTGTCCTGTCCCCTACAGAATGTCCCAGGACAGCTTACAATAAATAAGTAGAATAAAACAAACCCCACAGCAGCTGGCCATTAATATACTAAAACCCCAGTTAGCATAAACTGAATATATTTGGCATGGGGCAGCCTGTGTCAAGCCACATTGGAAATCTGTATTTAACTGAATTGTTGGAGGTTATAACTGCATGCATATTCATCTATATAGTCAATTTTTCCATGCCAGCTTTATTTCTGTTTTGCTTCATTCTCTTAATTGTAAATAATTTATCATATTTCTGGCTCAATTACAAAACCAAATCAGAACAGGAAAAAATCACTCCTGGAGAGAGTGGTTGATGTTTTTCCATTTTGCTTCAGATGGAATATAGTCCTGTGTAAGATAGATAGTATTACAGTAATTTCTTTTAGCTGTTTTGCAGTCTTAAGGTCCTGGTTTTCACTAGGGACTATGGGAATTTCTAGCCTATTGTGTAGCTAGATACAGTCTGAAGATGAGGTGCTCTAAGATAAGGTTGCCTTTCTAACTTAAATCCTCTGCTTCCCTCTCCTGGCCACAGTGAAATATTGCGTGATTATTATACCAAGCACAACAAAGCCAAAAAGAGAATGTATACAGCGTTTTCAAAATTTATATTTATTATAACAGTTGCTGTTTGTAGCAGGTCCATCTAAGATGGAATAAAGGTGATATCATGGGGTTAATTGGTGAGCAGTGTTTTTCAACAATGAATACTAACAGTAATTATCATAAAGAATGTTTAATCATTATTAATGTCTTCAGGCACCTTGTTGTTATTCCATGTAGTCTGCTTTTTAGTGAAGGCTGAAGATTGTTGACTGAAAGTCATGTTGCTTATATTTAAAAAGTACTTAGTATAAATTAGGTCTTGTTTTGTAAATAAAGAAGTATGCATTAAAACTGTGAACTAAGCTGTGATAGCTATAGCTCACATCTGTTGCTTCCTATTATTGTTGTGATTTTTGTTTCCTTGTTGGAGTGGTGGTGTCCACTTTTATGGGTTGAATGAGAAACAATAAAGCTTTTTTATCAGGTAAAAACAGGAATAATGGCTTTGTATTATGGCTATAACTTATCCAGAAAGCACAGTTTCAGTTATCTTAATTCCTTAAGTGAGTGTTAAATTACTTTTTGCTAAGTGGTCAGATACTATCAAAATTGTCTGTATTCTTTTCTCTTTTCTTGGATAGGTACTTGGGACACCAAATGAAGATTCATGGCCTGGAGTTCATTCTTTACCCCATTTCAAACTAGGTATGTTTTAAGACCATGCTATTAGAGTTCATATTAAATGTAATTTTGAATACATTTTGGAATCATGAGCAAAGGCAGTGTTTCAGGGGAGAGCAAGAAAGAGTTATGGCAGGGTACAGAATCCAATTTCAGATGTATTCAAGATGAAATTGCCAAAAAATGCACTTTGAATCATTTTTCTGGTTATTTCTCTCTCTATTTTCATATCTGTAGCAGAATTGTTGACAGTGGCAGTGACATTCTATTTATTGCAAAGAATATATTCATTTTGCATGCATATATCTAGCAGATACAATCTAATAACTGAGTTCAGACAACATGCTGCAGACTGTTGTGGATTATTTAATCCTTGCTCAGGTTATAATGATGTGTGAACCCAGCAAATATGGCTTATGTGAGAGTTTTAAAAAGTCTTGCATAACCCTAAAATAGATCATGGTTGTTTAACCTTCACATAATGCAAACTCACCAGTATAACATGCTGTAACAATCCCCAAACAAGGACTACATATATTAAATGGTGGCCACATGAGCCCCATTTGTATCATAGCCAGGGCTATTACATTGTGTGAAAGCCCAGTTAACCTCCGTATTAAGACATGCTTCCACCTGTTTCTGTGCACATTTAGTTGTGGCTGTCTCCCAAGATGCTATCTGTGAGCTTCAGCTATACCGTAGAGAGAGTTCACACCATTTGCTTTCCTCTTGTATGTAGGTTATGCTGCAGTTTGTAGTGCTGCTGCAGGGCCTCCAGGGAATTGTTCTCTGGTCAAAATCCACTGGTGACAAGATTCATACATTCACTTATGAGACACATAGTTCCTGTTGGGCTGGAAGAATCTTATGTGGTGACATTGCATTGCTTCTCTCAGCTACTTTCATGGGCAGTTAGTATCTCTGTTACCAGAGCAATGTGAATATGTTCTTAACATTACCAGCTTTGTTAGGAGCAATAGTAGAAGCTTCAGTGGTCTGGTACAGTGATGGCGAACCTTTTAGAGACCGAGTGCCTAAATTGCAACCCAAAACCCGCTTATTTATAGCAAAGTGCCAACACTACAATAAAACCTGAAAACTGAGGTTTTAGTTTAGAAAAAAACAACTCACAGCAGTCCAAGTAAATCTATATGTATCCTTGGCAGCGCACTGACCGGCCATGTGAAACCTTGGATGACTCACGGCTAATGAGTCGTGGCTTGTGATATCATCACTTGGCGCCACTACTCCATTCCAAGCATGTGCATGGCCCCTATGTGCGCTGTTATCTGATGCTCGGCTGCTGAGGCAATACTGGGGTGACTTGGCTTGCATGCTGACAGAGAGGGCTTTGCGTGCACCCTGTGGCACACATGCCACAGGTTCACCATCACTGCCCTAACCCTACTCTGGTGCACTCCCCTAACACTAATATAGGACTAAAGGTCCAATGAAAAGAAGAAAGATTTTGAAAAAGCCTTCCTTGACTGGCTTTTCCTGCACAGCTCAACATTTCTGCCCATTCTAAGCACATTCCAACCATCAAAATCTTGCCAGGGCACCTCGTTTTTGTAACCCTAACCCTACCCTGGTGCACACCCCTAACCCTAATATAGGGCTAAGGTTCCATTGAAAAGACAGGGATTTTGAAAAAGCCTTCCTTGAGTAGCTTATTCTGCACGGCTCAACATTTCTGCCCATTCTAAACACATTCCAACCATCAAAATCATGCCAGGACACCTCGTTTTTCTAACCCTAACCCAGTGATGATGAACCTTTTAGAGACCGAGTGCCCAAACTGCAACCCAAAACCCACTTACTTATCGCAAAGTGCCAACAGTGCAATAAAACATGAAAACTGAGGTTTTAGTGTAGAAAAAAGCAACTCACAAGTAGTCCAAGAAAAAAAAAAATATATATATATCCTTGACAGCGCACTGACTGGCCATGTGAAAGTTCGAATGAGTCACGGCTAATGAGTTGTGGCTCGTGACATCATTGCCTGGCGCCTCTACTCCTTTCCGAGCATGCGCATGTCCCCTGTGCACGCTGTTATCCTATGCTGCTGGGCGACTTGGCTCACATGCTGACAGAGGGGGCTCTGCGTGACCGCCGTGGCACACGTGCCATAGGTTTGTCTCTACTGGTCTAGTAGTTCATACAACTTATAGTTAAACTGTGGAATTCACTGTCACAGGAAGGCTTGGGGACCACTAATCTGGATGGCTTTTAAAAGGGACTGGACAGATTCATAGAGAAGGAGCATATCTGTTGCTACTAGCCTTGCTGGCTATCTGCTATCACTTTACCAGAGGCAGCATGTCTGCATGTAGCAGTTGCTGAGGAGCTTGTGCAGATGGGGGTGTTGCACTCATCCTGCTTGCGATATCCTGTAGGCAGCCGGTTTGCCGCTACAAGGTACTGATTGCTGGACTAGATGGACTATTGGTCTGATCCAGCATGGCTTTTCTTATGTTATCAATTCCGGCACAGTAGGTGTCCTAAAATATAAAACTAATCATGCTGGGTAGAACCAGTACATTGGTAAGATGACCTTGATGAAGAAGAATCAAATGTGCACTGAGTTACTGAGCTGGCTAGAGAAATTGTGGTTTTTCATCAAGTCTACCCTTCCTATATGGTATCCTGATTATGGATTTTTAAAAATAGACCTTTAAGTATAGCATGTTATTTCTCTGCAAAGTTTGTATGGCAATTCATGGCAGTGTAATTGGCAGGTAAATAATTATTGTGTAAAAAGTAACAATATAATATAAGAAGCATACACTCAAGGCTAATAAATCAGAGATTTTAATTGTGTTTTTCAAATCTGTATTCGTACTAATAAATTGCTGCTCCTGGCATTTTATCCAGATACTGCTGTTCTACTTTTCTGGGAAAATATACTGAACTAAAACTTTTTCATTAAACTATTATAAGATTCAAACCTACATACTAAAAGCCATTATAGATAAATTTCTAGATATATTCTAAATATACTGTTCTGTTCCTCAATATATATTCTTATTTATATGGAGTAATAGATATAATGTAAAACTTTTAATATGACTATCATTCTGTTTGCATGGAATTTGTCCTACTAATTGGAAGTATTGCCAATACTAATTAGATGTATTGCCATTTGGCACACAAAGCCAAGAATGCCAGAAACTTAGCATCAGTATCCCACCAATTGATCCAAGGTATCTGCCCATGTCTACCATAAAAACATTTTATTACCAACCGTTAAATCTAGAGTTCCTCACAGAGTCAATATAACACGAGAAAATAGAACAAATTACAAAATGCAAGTGGCATGACATGACAGACATAACTGTGGGAGGAACCCTATTCATTGTAATGTGCTGAGAATGTAATGTTTCATTTGGAGAGAGGATCCAAATAGCAAATATTAAAACTGACTGAGGTGGAAAATCTAAATGAGAAAGACCAAATTTTAGTACACCTCAACAAATAGGCTCAGTAATTTGAAGTAATATCTGGAAAGTCAAGCCCATTTTCTTTAACTGAAAGCAACATGGTTTTCAAGGATATTTGAAAAGGGTGATTGTGGTGCGGAGAAACACCCTTCTATAAAAAAATAAAAATCAGAAGAATGAATTTCTGAAAGTATTTGCCAGATATAAGTACAGGAAGCCTATGTTAAACGTTATGACCAATAATGGTCATTTTGACTGTATTTACCTTGCTTTGCAAATTCAAAACCTTTAAAAATGTTCATTTATCTGTATCTCAGTTCTGTTAGATTTAGCTTCATGATTTGAGGTTATGTCTTATTGGGAATAAATATTCCCAAATGAGTAATAAGGTCTGGGCACCATCAGAATTGCCAGTCAGCTGATATACTGTAAGATATATTATCTCCAATAGTCATCAGTTCAGATTTTGACCAATTAATTGAATAGCCAGATTAAAGCTGGAAAAAATGGCTGGGGTGGGATCTTGAAATAAATAATAAAGGATCATTAGCATAGAGAATAATTTTTAATTCTAAATGATCATGCATGAGACCATGGATACTATTATTCTATCTAATATCATAGGCTTCCTATCATTAATAAAATATTTATAGAGAAAGTAGAGATCCCTTTCTGGTACCTCTCCCAAATGAAAAGAAGTCTGAGAAGAGACCATTGATTTTAACTATTAACTCTTGAGCTTGAATATAGAATTGTGACCCATTTTTCTACAGGAAAGCCAAAATTACTCAACGTAATGAAAGTAAATTTCCTGTGAATGTTGTTACAGGCCTTTTCAGTAGGCAATGAAACAATAGCAACCTGGCCTGTTCTATCTGTATTTAAAGCTATGAGATCAACAGCTTAATCTAAGATTGTTAATCCCCTATTTATAACTCCCACTGGATCTGCCTGAACTGGTGTTGCAATAATCTGTTGGCCAGAAGTGCAGTTAATATTTTAATATCAGTGTGAAATTAACAAAAAATGTCACTTATTAGTGCAATAATAGTAATCAAGTTTAGGAATCAGTGTAGTAGATAACAATGATGAAAGTAAGCTCAATTTAAAAATATGAATATAAAGACAATGAAGCTTTGGAAATAAGAGTTTGGAAAATGTTTCATACCTTTCAGTCAGAAAACCATGCAGACCAGCTGTTTTCCCTGTATTCGTATTCATAATTGCTTTCATAATTTTCTCAGTACATAAAGGAGCTGATATACACTGCCATTGCAGTGAATCTAAACATGGAAGACTAACGTGGAAAGAAAAGTGCCTATGTCCTGCTCTATCTGTACTATACAAATCAGAATAAAACTTAGGAGAGGTTTATATCAAGTCACTCTCATCTTTAATAACTGAAAAAACATTTCAGTATTAGTGTTGTTTAAGAATACGTGACAGAATCTTTCCAGGACATTCACCATTTTCCCAATATGTCCGTCAGAAGCAAGTTAAGGCAAATTCTGCCTGCTGTGAAAGAATATTACTCAGTTCATCTTTAACATTCTGCATCTCCTGATAAAGTTGCACAGTTGGACA